GCCGCTTTTCGGCAGAAACTACATCTACTGCTTCCCTGACATTCTCTGATGCTATACGAGGTGAAAATATGGTATTGCCTTAATTGCCGCCTGACTATATACAAGTATATTGATTTTCTTTATGTTGTTTCCTCCTAGCTATCTCAGCTGCTTACCTGATCGCAAAAACCGCCTGGGGTCAAGCTTCGATGAATAGATTCTTTTGAATACTAACCTTAACTAGAATATTGCTAAAGTTTCAATCATTCCCAAGTCATTGGTCTCAAAACTACGCCATCTCTGTTTTTTTTTATTTACAACGGAAGGTAGTCACAATTTTTAACACATGAAAATGTTTTTTTCAATATCTATCTAAAAGATAAACGTGTTTGACTTTCAAAGAACAATCTGGCATTGATCAAACGCAATAAGAATGAGTTTCTGTGCCGGTTTGAGACAATGAATGAAACATGGATACATCATTACACATCTGAGTCCAATCCATAGTCCTCTAAATGGTTGTACACGTGAGAATCGAGAGCATATGCCAGAAATATAGACACGACATTGACTACAACTAATAAAACTGTGTTTTGTTTGAAATAAAGTTTAAAAAATAATGTTCTACATGCGTCTTACTATATATACCATATACTATATTATTCGCTATCCCTTTTTTTGAAATGGTTCGTAGTTCTTTTCATATTTTATTTATTTGTATCCTTATTAGTATCGTTTTAACTCGATAGACTTTCTGGCAGTCGGCAGAGTAAGCCTCCGTGGCAGAGACAATTATTTAAATTTGAAAACAGAAATAAAACGAACGAGGTCCCAAATTTAGAGAATACGGTTGATAAGCAGCAGTTTGTAGCCTATCTCGACCAATTTGCAGTTTCTTCGCATTCGGCGTAGAATGGGTCCATAGAGACCTCTGGCCTTTTTTCCTACTTCAGATACCTTATGAGTCCCAGAAAACTTCTTTTTCGTTCGGAGCATATTCGCCGGTGAAGTCCATTGTATCGGCTGTTTTTCGATATTTGGTGTATACCAGTGTATCCATGTTTTGTCGATGGTCACTAAACGACGCAGAAACTTCTTCGATGGTCTCATGTTTGCACTTGTTATCCGAAGTGAGCAACCCCGCTGACAGCTTTCTCAAGAAAGTATTAATAAATGAATATATTTGAATATGAAAATGTTTTGGTTTTATTTCAGTATCTCCTTAGGTCTGTCAAACTGAAAGCCTTTAACTTTTTGTGCCAATTAAATCACTTTAAGATAATTAACCCACTCAATTGGTTAGGCAAGTTTTAGAATTTAAAATCCAACAATGAATCGCTTCATACCGAATCCTCAATAGCAAGGATTTACATTAAAAAAGTCTTTTTAAATTAACTGAGGTCAATAACAAATAAAATTACCATATTTGGGGAACACAAAATTAGCTTGAGACCCATAAAACGGCATTCCACAAGCAAAAAGTAACGCTTAGGAAGGCGTTTACATCAAAATCATCATTAGATCATATTTTTTAAAAGGTCTGGACGGTTACTGGTTTCAGGAAGATTGGGTATCATGGAACACTGTGAATCAAATCAATTCAGTTTCTGTAACAAAAATTCTCTGGACGTCTAATCGCGAAAAAAATAACATTAGCAGATCTTTGAAAATCCCTGGCTTCTTTTAGTGGAGTTATTTGAATTGCAATATTAACGACAGTGTACACTAAATAGAATAAGAGGTATTTATAGAGGAATCTTATATACTTCAAAACCTCTATATATATTTTTGAAATTCTCATGACCTCGTTCTTCAGTGATCTGAATAGTGTTTCTGTGATACTGAAAACCCAATAGAAGCGAGAGGTAATTACCAATTATTATTAATAAAAATGCATATGATAGTAATGCAGAGAACTTTGAAGGCCGGGGGATTCTGTTTCCAAGAATATTTGTAATTCAATCCGCAAGTAGTTTCAGATCGCAGCGAAGCCACACCCGTCTAATATGTACATATGTACTTATAAATATTTGTATACCCTGAACCTATAAAGTGTATGTATATAAATGATAAGCAAACTGGTTACACAGTTTTTGAGATATCGACCTGAAACTTTTGCACACGTCTTTTTTCACCAAGCAGCTGCTTATTTGTCGGAACCGTCGATATCGGATAACTATAGTATATAGAGCTGCCACCAAAAATGGCGGATCAAAATCAAGAACAAGATCTTTTTATACCGCTATAAAAAACCACCTGTGAAGGGCAAGCTATAAGCTTCGGTGCAGCCGAAGTTAACGTTTTTTCTAGTTTCTTCGAAAAACTACACGTGCGACTCAAGTATTTACAAAACTTATTCAATTACATATTTACTTGCCTTTATAGTTCAGTTATGAAATTGCAATAAATGCAAATTAAACTGCAACAATCAATCAGAGCAAGTTTGTCTCAATTTGAAATTATGTTTATGTCAATTTATTGCATGTCTACATATGTTACGATAATTAATTTGCTCACGTTTATAAAAACAAATGTACATATGAACACATTTACGAGTAATAAATTTATATTATTGTTTAATCATTTCCATAGAAATTTTATATATATATGTATATTTGTATAATGGTTTATGTTCATAGAAATACAGATAAATTACCTTTGTGATGAAAGTGTTTATTGTTTACCAGAAATCAAGTAATGTTTACGATTATAAAACTACAGTGGAACAAAGCACAGTTCGACATAGTCAAATTTTAATTTCGGCTGTAAAGGTAAATTTGTTTATGAATTTTTTTATCGTTTTTAGCAGAATGCGATTAGAAATTGTTCTGAATACTGCTTATTGGATTTGAAAGTAGTAGGAAACAAGAAGAAACGTTAAATTCGGTTGCACCTAAGCTATAATACCCTTCAAAAATAAAAAAAATCCTTAGACACATTCAACTTCATATACTTTAGAATGTCAGACATAATGCAGACACAATCGATGATGAGGATAAAGTGTATTTCTTATATGTGGTATCCAGTAACTGACTGAAGATGAAGCGTATATTTTAAAATCTAGTACTCAGTGATGACTGTCAATTGTAAATGAGTTTCCATTATACTGATTATTGGACGGTAGTTTACTGAACCTCAAGGAAATTACTTCGATGGCAGCATAAATCCGCTTAAAATCCAGCAAAATATATCTCTAAATTTCAGGAGAAGATTTATCGATTGCTGGAGCCATGAATGATGGGTTTCAGATGCAGCCGAACTCTTTTCCAACAACGTTATATATGCGATAAAAACAAGCTTCTGTCTAAAGAGTATCCATTTGTAAATCGTTTCAATGTAACAGATTTATGAGGACGGGCCTTTTCGACCGTTTTTCAAATTGTAAAATACAAGTTAAAATTACTGTAGATGAAAAATTCTTTCAGAATTAGGGGTAGACAGAATTTTCTAAAAAAAAAACTATTGTTTTGGCATTATCTTAAAGCATGATATCTTTGAAATATTCTCTGAAAATTTGAAATAAATTAAGCAAATAATTTACGAGTTATTTGATAATTAGCAATCGGTTCTCGGGCGCTCTGAAACGTTCGTGCTAAACTTCAAATGCGCTTTTTTCGAAACAATGTTTTCTGAACTAGCGTCTGGTTACCTTTTTTTAATTTCTATATTTTATAAACAATTAACTGTTGGTTTGAAAAAGTTACCTGAAGGCTCCATTTTGTTGCTATTCTGCTTTTTTTTCAAATTTCTGTTAAGTTAATTTTGAAAACATGGTGAATAGGCGATATAGGATAGATATAATTATATTCAACTTTTCTGAGATCTCCACTTTATATTTTTCATGGTTTTTGGTACGCACCTAGATCTAAACACTTTCAGTCGATCTATCAGGGATATTAAGTTATATTAAAACATTACCAGAGGAAGATAGACTCCTAGCTTTCCTAAATCCTTCGCAGTAACAATGTCTTCTTAATAATTTATGGTTTTCAAATATCTGGATTTTCCGTAGAGAAAGCACTCCCACATAGATGTGTTATATTTTCAATGAGTCCTTGAGTAAAATTCCACAGGAAAAACAACATTTCTAGCAAACGATTTTCTCTATTTTGAAAAACGCCAGACTAACCTTCAGCATCATAAAAATACCGTCTATTCGAAGAAGCAAATGGTTCTGGATTTTAAAAGGGTTTTTGAAAATACATATCAAATGGTTCTGCTGGGATTGTGGCTCTGCTGGGATTGTGAGAAATATTTTCATGGTATAAATACACATGAGGTTTTCCATTGTCTGGCTACGATCGACCACTTCTAAAAATCATATTTTTATGTTGGTTGGAACAAGAATTGTACTCAAGACCCACATAATGGCTTTGCGCACCGCAAACTTCTACACCATAGCGGACGCCTGATTTTAGTAAAAGTCTGTTCAAAATGAGATTTTTTTTTGCAAGCAAATGACCCATTGGGCGCTTAGCATTTTTATTAAATCGAGAACGTGTACTAAATCAAACTAACAGTTAAATAAATTTCATTAAATGCAAATTAAATGTTCATCACTAGAAATATATTTAAATTACTATTGAGCAACAAATATACATCTGTACACATCTACACCCACTTACTTGCTATGAACTTATAGCTTGTTATTTCCAATACCCGTTTTAAATGCGTATTACGGAATGTTTAAGAAGCATGGTAAATAGTTGGCTAAGCATTTTCGCATTCATTGCACACATCAAGAATATTTCTAGCTATAAAAAGCATTCGTAAACGTTAGGTCAACCATTGCACTTGCAACTCCTGCAATATGAATTTCCAACTGCTCATCGGCTTCGTGCTGGCCTTACTCGCTGTGGCTTTTGGTAAATATATTTCACATATCTCTTAATAATTAAAAATGCTTAAAAATTATTTATCTTCAGCCAATCCAAATCCTTTGCCTGAACCTTATCCAGGTGGAGGTGGCGGTGGCGGCGGCGGCGGTGGTGGCGGCGGTGGAGGTGGTGGCGGTGGCGGCAAGTAAGCACCGCAATTCCCCACAAACTCTAAGCTAGCTGTAAACCTGTATACGATAAATAAAATTGAATAAAACACCGAAACGTGAGTTCACTAGAATGGAATCCTTAATTTGTTTTAAATGAAGAAATTTAGTGCCTGTTCGGAAACTAGGTATCAGTAAAAAGGGCGAATTTGAATTGAAGTTTTATATCTCAACTGTGAATGACAAATATGGATATGTGTATATTGATCGAGCTCGCTATTCATTTTCACTGTAGTGAACCCGGTTCTTACAATGTCCACACAGGACTCAAATAACTAAACTAACTGCAAGTCCTAGTTTTGTAAAACAGATTCATTCCAGTCCACCTTCAGACAAAACGGCTATATCTCATATAAGATATTTAATTCGTTATATCAGAAAGGGTGTTACGAATACGGACCATGATAGCTTACAATAAGTATATGCTTTAAAGTGGGTGAAATGAGACAATAAGATTCGGTCCTTTAATTCTCCACTATTCCTGCTTTGTAGGTGGGTGTGATGATTAAGTATGTCATCTGCAAAGCGTACGTAAACTTGAGTACCGACTTTAGTAAGGATGTATTACTTCCTTCGACTATGATGTGCACCGCCACGCAGGTTCTTAGAAAAACCTTACGCGGCTTCTCACCAGGGCTCTGTCGCAGCTTCTCATCTCTTTTATGGATTTGGGCGCCTTCATATTATCCGAAAAAACTACTTAAAAATTGTAGGCCAACAATGAATGGCTAAAATATTTTACGAGAAGCTGTTTCATGACAAAATAAAGCTAGAAAATTTAAGATTTTTTGCCGAGTGACAACATTAAAAGAAAATTTCTGATATTGGTCGGAATAGGGATCATTACAAGGCGCAATTCAAAAGTTTCAGGACTTTTATTAAAAAACGAATATTATTTATTTTTTTTTGAAAAATTTATTGGTCGTCTTCAAAATAGTATCCTTCCGCCTGAATACAACGTTTTGCACGTTCAAGAAGGTTATCGAGGTCATTTGTCGGTATAGCGTTGAGGATGGAGGTCGTCGCCTTTTGGATGGCATCAACTTCAGCATAGCCGTTTCCTTTCATGGCCAAATGTAGTTTTCCGAACAAATAAAAATCACAGGGTGCCATATCAGGCGAATAGGGTGAATGGTTGATGATATGAATGCGATTTTTGGTCAAAAAATATGCCGTGAGTGTCGAACGGTGAGATAAAGCGACGCTGCGGATATTGATAATTCCGATTCCATATATTTAAGCGATGATTTCGGCTCTTTTTTAATGAATTCACGCACAATTTCCGTGTTTTTTTCGTTCACAACATCTTTTGGCCGACCCGAACGTTCGTCGTCTTCCAAGTCCTCCCGTCCCTCTTGAAAACGTTTAAACCACTCGTGAATAGGGCTACGGAATAGACAATCCTCGCCATAAACTCGTTTCATCATTTGATGAGTTTTGGTAAAAGTTTTACCAAGTTTAAAACAAAACTTAATGTTGGCTCTTTGTTCGATGCTCATTTTCCGACCGACACTACAAATGTAATGTCACATGTAGCGCGATATCTCAGCTGTTATACAAGTCAGCTGTTATATAAATTTTATACGACAACACTTAAGAATACACAATTGAGGGATAACAATTTCAGACAGATGGCGCCACTAGAAGCCGCGTTGTTCAAAAAGTCCTGGAACTTTCGAATTGTACCTTGTACAAGGTCTTTCGTTTGGCAACGCACACCTCTAACTACTTTAGAACTTTTACTCTATTCATCAACAAAAGCTTTTGAATAATACCACTTAACGATTTTCAAGTAAGCCCATATCTGTGAAATATTTGGAACTCCATCCATCATTGATTTATTCTATGAATATTCGAGGAATAGGCCATAGAAATGTATATTACCGTAAAAAAAGAATATTCAGCGAGTTTGGAACTGAACGCGTATCCCAACTAGTTCTAACTTACAAAAAAGTGTGGCTAAAGGTTATCTTATTGTATAAACTTATAATTAGATTACGTCTTCTTAAAGAATATGATGATCAGGTGGGTTTTTATAGTTTGAAGTTATTCATAAAATATCTAGAGAACGGAAGAGGTGAGGAATTTTAAATATAAAGATACGTCTTTATAAATAAAGAATACCCAATAAAATAAAAATAAAAATCGAGATTTAAAAATTCTCTACACAAAACTAATTCGTAATCTACTAGAGCAAAATATTTCTTGTTTATCCGTCTCTATCTAGTTTATCTAGTTTTTCATGACTTCTTTTCTTAAGATTTAAATATTTGTCTTGTATAATGTAAACCATATATAAACGTATTTAGATTGATATAACATTTATGTCCAAAACCATTGACACAAAGTGTCGAAAACACGCTGGAATCGAGTTTATCCATTATCGTAAATAAGATGGATTACTGTATTCAAAGCAAATAATATAGGCTCCTTTACTTCTAGAAAAAGTTACTGTCAGAAGTTTAAAAGGTTTAGTCTTTGCATACTGACTAAACATCCTTGTATGGAAAGCTTCTTATTGCACCAAATTTCGCATAGAATATTAATGCTATAACTATACTATATGTAAACTGACCAATCAAAATGAAGCTCTTCTATGGAAAACTTTTTAAATTTAGCATACAAGTTATCTAAGGTATCGCTAGATGACTGAACATATTGTTCAGAGCGGATAACTATAGCATATTATTGCCACATAAACTGACCGATCAAAATCAAAATAACTGCATACTGTAGATAAATGTAGCTATGATGGGTATTCTAGCTTCGGTGCATGCGAATTTAACATTTATTTTTTTTTTGTTTTAAATTAAAATGTATGAAAAGTTAATTAAGCAAATGAGCACATTGAACAATTTTATAAGGATATTTCCAAAACTGAAGAAATTGTCCAACTAATTGCATATCGATGACTGAAATTAATAAATTTTACAAACTCAATTAAACGGAGTTGGCATAAGAGTATAATTTGCAACTACTCTTGGCCTCACAACAAAAATTACATCAACATAAAATAAGTAAAAATAATTTCTACAAAGTATACGCATACATATGTATTTATATTTATATGTACTTGTAGGTAAGTGCAAAAGCAGATCTTTAGGCACATGCATCGCAATATTTGCATGTAGTTGGTCAGCAACCTTACAGACGTGCAATGAAATGAAGGCGCATTCGCGAATGCAGCCAAAGGTCAACCGCTTTTAACTGTGCAATCTTGTCATACACTTCGAACAGCTAGTGATTTCCTTCTCACTAAACAATTATATTAAGTAGTCCAATCAAAACAGCTGGAGCGCGCGGATGCGTTTCTTGACAAGCACACATGTATAGTTTATTTACTTAAGTATTGTGACATTGCGCAATGTAAAAACAATGCCTTTGTGCATTTTAAAACTGACAATTCGTAAGAGATGTTTGGCGCTAACATGGAATCGCTAGAGCTGCTGCAGGCCATTTTGGAGTACAGCGCATGCGTGTCTCAGCTGCTGGACGTAGTTGAAGAGCGGCGCTTGGAGGATTATTTAAAATTTATTAAATATTTTATAGTGTGATATATAGTTAAAGCGAAAACCAAAGTAAATTAAATAAAATAAAAATTTTAAGCGCTTAAATTATATGAAAGTAAAAAAAAAGAAAGAGCGATATTTCCTTAGTTTATCCCTTTGAAATTTTCTTTAATATTTATAAATATATTGTACGTAAGAATATTTTTAAAAGGCTTCTAAAAGAGTTGTTTTAAATATCGGTTACACCATCTTCTTGCAGCTCCCGGAGAATACAGCTGGATGCCATAAAAGCACGCTCACAGCTAAAAAAAAATTTAGACGTATAAAACTTTCTTTCTAATTTACAGTTAAAAGCATACTTATCAGCTTGCTTATTCGTTTCTCGGGAACATTTTTGTAACACATCCAATAGTGAGTCCTTTTCAACTTGAGGATGTATTATTTGAAATATTTGCAAAATGTTTTCCTCATCGATTGAGTTATCTATATTTAACTGAAGGTAATGTAAAGAATAACGGTATATGATTCCATGAAAAGTTGTGAAACACAGAGGTCTTCTAAATCAAGAGGCGTGGACTAAACTTAAGATTATCCGTTATAGTTTGACTACTTTGTTTCTAGTCAAACTTCAAAAATACAAACTTGCGGTTCCGAACCGACTAACATAATAATTGAGCCATTAGTTGTTAAAAGAGGAGATATAATAATTGCTGTCCACAAAAATCGTATTATAAAATTGTAATAAATTTGTATGAAATTTCCAAAGAAAGTTAGGTAATACTTGCCAAATTTTACTTAAAAAGGCTTAATGCTTTTTCGTGTTAATTTAAAAAAAGTAAAAATGGATATGCGCATTTGACTAATTCAAGTCTTAAAATCCTTTTTTCCCATCAATCATTGGAAATTGTGGCTATGAGTCTGAATATTAATGATTCTTCTTGATTAATTCAAAGCATGTCCTTTACCCTTAATATGCCACAATTGGGCTAATTTTTTTCACTGTACTATCGAAGCCTAGCAAATTCGAACTTTTTAAGTTGGCTATTTAATCAAAAAATGTATTTTTATAAGAAATGCTCCAACCTTGTCCAAATACTTAGTATTCTCCTAATATTTTATATTACTACTTCAGTGTTAGAGAGATTTCGAATTTTTTTGCCATCGAACTCAAGGGTATTGAACTCAAACTGAACTCAGTACTTGACAGTCACAGAGAGTCGGGTCTGTTTACGTTTAATTCTTGCTTGTACGGTTTTTAAAAATTTGGTAAGCCGACTATTAATTGTTCAGTAGCACCCAAACTTACATGTTTTCGTATGAAAAGTTCAAACAAGTGGGAATTCGCTAATTTTATTTTATTATTTTACCATCTGAGTATTCATTGTTCAGTATAATTGCCCTCTGTACATTTCTATTATCGTACCTAAAGAGATCTTACTCCAAAAGTCTGATTTTATGGAAAAATTAATTAATTTTTTATGACTACAAAATTACACCATAAAATATTTATTCTTTTCTATACATTTTATCGGAAATACTAAGTAGAACCTGGTTTTATTGTTTTTTTGCAACTGATTAAAAAAAATCTGATACTTCAGTTGTTATACTCACCAAGCCATTTTTGCGCATAATACAGTATCGTAGACACTTCGCATTGTGGGATAAGTTGGTGCGAGAACCCTTCAATATTTCATCAAAACTCTCTGTAAATATTGGATGAAAATTCAACAACATGCGTGCTATATTTTAATGTATAGCTCAGTTACCATGGGTTAGCTGTACTTTGACACTCTGAGCCGCATCCTTGTAGCAATCTTCAATAGCAGCCTCGGCCATAACCAGAAGTGAACTATAATGTGGCGGTTTAGATTCAGCAGCAGCCATTTTTATTACTATAAATTGTTGGAAGATCAATTGATTTGAGAAAACAAACAACTATTAAAGTAATAAAACCCTACTGAATACTGAAGACACTGCCAAAATCGGTAGGATAATAAGAATTTCCATTATGTTTTCTAAATCCAACGAAGTGTTATAAACCACAACAAAAATTCAACTGAAAATCGAAGATTATTTCACTTAGGTGCAAAGTTAGTAAGAAAGATCACCTCTCCGATAGGAATTTACAATTGATGCACTACAAATGGATGAGAAAATGTCTCACGTGAATTTAGAGGCAATAAATGAAAATGTCTCACGGTTAGAAATGTGATTGAATATAATATATTGCTCATGTGAATTTAGAGGCAATAAATGTTTGCGATCTGACCCATTGAAACTAGTAATCATGGTCTTATACCTTTCTAATCGCAAACCTTGTGCGAAAAATTCTATAATGATGAGACAAATCCATCGTAAACTTTGTAGCAACAAAAATCATTAATTTGTTAGTTATGTTCACATAAAAAAACTTTAAGTAAGATACAGTATTATATATATATATATATATGATATAATAGTTGTCATGACATTTTTGTGTACTACTTGAATTTCTCGAACACACACACAATAGTTCTGCTGAGACCACGAATTTCTGTGGCCATATCAATTGAATGAGAACCAGTTTTTTTAAATCCCTTTTTCTTGTATAATTGTAACTGGTGATATAGAGCTAAATAAATAATTTACTTTTTAATAATAATATTTACTTTGAAATATTAATTACAAAAAAATCGTTATCTATGCCTCTCAATTTTACTAGATGAGTAGAATATTCTATGAAATTTTATTCCTAGAGGGTTAGTTTTTAACCAATTTTTTCATAATCAAACATACATACATACATATGTATATGTACTCGTACATACCAATCGATTCATTTGAATAGGTTTATATTTTATTTTAAGATTTATGTTTATTCATATAGACATCGCAGAAGCTCCGTTTAAGCTTGATTTTAAAGGCAGATATATAATATTTTGAACAAATGTAGTGTTTTAATGAATAACTCAAACAATCTGCTTTTAAATTTGCGTCACTTGAATAGGTACATATTGTATTGCGGCATTGTGAAGACAAGTCCGTTTAGGCGAAATTAATAAAATTGTTATTTGTAGTAGGAGAAATTTTTGGAATGATTTCAGATCTTTTTAGTGAATATGGGACGAGCAGATGTGTTTTCTGATTTCGAAAAGCCCGAAATTGAAGCTTCAATCACGAAATTTCTGTGTCAGCTATTGCTTCCAAAATTAATAGAAGTGTAAATGTCGTCTACAATTTTTTGTGTCGACATATTAAAAACAAAAGGAAAGGAAGGAAAAAACTCGGCCACAGAAGCAGAAAGGCAGTTTATTTTTAAAATAGCTTCCATTTCGAGTGACTGTAGCAAAAATAAAGGCGAAAAGTGGTTCCAGTGCCAATGTTTCCACTTGTGAGATTTGATGCTAAAAAAAAAACCGCCTCTAAATGATCAACGGAAGGTCACAAGTTACTGTTTTACAGCGATCACATGTGTGGGAAAAATTAATGAAAATCGGTCGTATTTTCGGATGAAAAATAATGTAATTTTGACGGTCCCGACGGATTTAATTATCAATGACCTTAGCAAAGAGGAACGTTTCCTAGCCCGTCTCCAAAGCCGCGAAGGGAGTGTTATAATTTGGGATGCGGTATGTTATTATGAAACATTTGAGCTACAGTTTACATTTTTGAAATTTTCCAAATTTTTTGGAGCCATTGCGTGGACAGCACAATGCTCCGATCCACGCCGAAAGGGTAGTAAATATTGGATTACAGCTCCAAATGTGAGTTTGTTGAAGTGGGCACCTTATTCTTCTGACCTTATACAATAGCAGCGATAAAAATTGCATGAAGTGAGATGTCCTTGGACTACTTAAACAGCCTTTATGATAGTCTTCCGAATAGAGTTTATTCAATTATCTTAAATAAAGGAGGCAGTAGACTTTAATAAAACATTTACACTTGTATGGTTAATCTAAATAAATTCTTGTATTAAGACTACTGTACCTATTCAAGTGACGCAAATTTAAAAGCACAATTTTTTAACAACATTTGTTCAAAATAGATCCGTCTTTTAAACCAAGCTTTAACGGAGCTTCTGCAATATCTAAACGAAGAGATATAGGTTTGTATCTTATAAGCAAAATGTATACCCATTCAAGTGAATCGGGGTGTATATGATAAGACTTTGTAGTCAAGATTATTGAACTCACGATAAAATCTCTGTGAAAGCTAGTGAATGAAATATTAAGTACTCTAACCAGTTAAAACTTAGGGATATAATAGGTATTAATTAAAATGCATTTGTGTATATGTTATTCGAATTTTTTTGCAGCCAGTTCTTATAATATCTATGCATATATAATGAATATCTTTTTAGCGGTATAGATCTTTTGATTCCAGTGAAACACAGGCATTTAATAATATTTTGGTCTTCTTAGTTCCCAATTTGATTGAAGTAGGAGTTTGAATATAATTTCGGACATATGACTCCCGAGACTGCGATTTATGAAGACTATCTTGTAGTCCAATTTTTCACTATTTTCACAGAAAATTATCTCCAACAGAATAGACCATTGACATAAATTAAAATCTCGCTAAATAATTTTTTGGAAGCAAATATACATATGCCCTAGGTGGTTAATTTACAAACCTATTTCTTGAAATGGTACATTCGCAAAAATATCGTCCCAAGAAATGGACGTTTTTACACACTGCATCGCTCCAGCAAGGAGATATTGGCGAGGGGTACCAAAATGATGTACGTGACTTATTCATAAGGCTAATTCAATGACCCCACCTACAGTTCTAAATAAAGTAAAATAAAGTGCAATTTATTTGGATGCATGGGAGGTTGGAGTATTAGAAAATGCCTCCTAAATCGATGTACCCGATTTGTTAAAATTTTTTTAACGTTGCTCCGTTTTAAAACTTTCCATGAACATATAGCAGTCTTCTAAAGTTGTCTATTTAACATCACTTTCCGTAAGACATTCTATATCGCTGAATAATATAATATAAATCGAAATTGTATATCCAAGCTCCTCTTTTCAATATTTGCGGCTAGTAGTTTGAGGTTGTCTGACAAAAGAAATTGGTTAGAAGTTTGAATACGATTCCAGACAGCTAATAGATTTTATAACAAAGCATGGAAGAAATATATTCGATGGTTTCCTATTATTGAAGGGTGACCGTTATTAGACTTTGTTTTTGTGAAAGGTATGGTAGGACCTTAGATTCCCCTGCATGAGCTTTTCCGAACCGGTTCGGTTGGTATTAGAGTCCAACAGCAATGTTTATAAATACTTAAATTATTATATTGCTCTTTTAATTATAGTATAGCACGATTTAGTACGAATTTTTCGAAATTGTTTAATTCTGAAAGTGGTGTTTTGAGTTTCGCAGGATGCCAAAGTTATGCTCAAATCCAATTTTTATAGCAAAGACTTCTATTGGAATAAGGGTCAGGCAATATTATTTCCACCAGAAGAATTTGTTATTGATTTTCTCCGATTTCTGTTACGTATATAAAAAATGATAAAGAGTTTTGATTACAACAGATCAATTCTCTCTTCTACTCCGAAATCATTGGCACTGTACTACACCTCGTGCTTCAAGCATTCTATGTTAGTATAAATTTTTATTTACTAAACCATTACACTTTTCTAGCAATTTTAAAACAGATAGTACAGAAAAACAGTTGAACTTAAAATATGGTTAATGAATATTAATTTATAAGTCAAAATCGCCATTATGTATATCCAAGTTTGTCGTCTAGTTAAATCAAATTTAAACACGCCCCATTACAAAGCCATTTTCCTTAGCTTTGGCATGCATGCAGGTGCGATATTCCTCAGCTGCTTCACAACTGCAAATGTACATAGTTATCATTGCATTTGTTGGAAATCTTAAAAATGATATGAATTAACCACTTACTGATCGTCGTTTACATCAATGTCAGCACATGCTTCTAGAACTTCCACGCCCAAGGCATGTTGCTCTTCATTGCCACTAGTGATAATTGTCAAAACCTCCATGGCTTTATCTCTATCAATCTTGCCATCGCCATTCATCTTATCGAAAAGCAGCAAAAATAAAGAAGTACACATATACATTTTATGATTTGTAGTATATAATTAAGAAATAGTCAACTCACCACACCGAATCTTTTTATGACGCATGCGTGCAGACATTTCGCCTCCATAGTCTCAGCTGGTTCGAACTTCAAAATCGTCTCAACGTCATCTGTAATTTGTTTCCCAATATAAATTTTTTTTATACTTTTAAACAGCGGTTCTCATTTACCGTCTGTTGCACCAACTTCATCCTTACACTCCTCTGCAGCTGCTTTTGCCTCTTCGTGACCGCACTATTTTAAAATAAAAAGGAATTTACTCGTATATGCTTAGAGAATATAGCCGTGTGCACGTTTAACTTCGGAACTTTAAGCATTGAGGCCCAAAAAAAAAACCGGCAGGACTTTTCTCAAATTATGTATCTACTCCAGGGGTCTAAGTTCGACAGGTCTTTCGTTCTGTCCGTAATCTCCAGTGAAGTTGATTTTTAAACAAATTTTGCATGTGATATTGAGAAATGAGAAGGACTTTCGTAAATCCAAACACAATTTGTCGAGAAGGTATCGCAACATAGTCACAGGTGACTAGTTTATAGGGGAAAAGCTAAAGTGTGAAAATGGGAAAACAGACCAACGCTCTTCACTTTTATCAGGATCTTTGATGCGCAAACTATTTCACTTTCACAAAAAAAAAGATAATGTTAGTTTTACTTTTATATCTAACCACATTTATAGAGAGCCTTTTCTTTCATATCCCGAGATAGTTGTCCGGTCCGCTACATCGACGTTTGATGCTTTCGAGATAGAGTAATCCCCTTTTGATTCACTAACTTGAGGATTATTAGGGAGGGAACCATGCCAAACACCACAGAGAACTCAAGCTAAGGAGGCAGAAAAGATGAAAAAGCATGCACCGAAATAAAGCTCTCGACAAAGTAAAGCAAACTTTGCATCAGTGACTTAGCGCAGGCTTTGTCGTATTTAACAGTATTTATGAAATCCTCTATCTTATTTGGTTCATATTGGTATTTAAATTTTTTTCAAAAGCTTTGGGCTTCGATTTGCTCTTTCTTAGCGAAATTAATTTACTTTAGATGTGCCATCTGAAATGTAGAACCTCTTTTCCTTTCTGATATGTAGTACTGACACTTTGTTTGATAATCTATGTATTTTATTGAACTTCTTTTTTGGAATATTCGCTAGAAACAGTGTAAAATCTTTACGTTTGTTAACACATTCGCCCAGAAAGCATTTATTGTGGAACGGAGGTATATTAGAGACCTCTTCTCGCCGTTTAGGTAGAGGTTCCATTATGTCATATTCAAAATCTGTCTTATGAGCTCTTCACTTCAAACATTTTTCTGAGCTTTAAACTACACTTTTAAATTACCTTAGCATTTGATATAAGCGCTACACAAACAATTAGGCAAATGTTAAAGAGCTTCATGTTTATAATTATCCACACGTTATTTTCAAACTAAGAAACTTCGACCGTTCAAACTGGGTGTCAACAATTCGGATATTGGCTTCTTCAGGCATGCTGTGCTTTTATATGCGTAAAGTCATGTGGCGATCTTAGCAAAAGACTAAAAACTATTAAAAAATAATCAATGTTGCGTGCAAACTAAAATTAATTTTTATACATGTGGATTCGTCAAAATATACTCGTATATGTTTTTGAACAATTAAAGTGACATTTGCCTTGCGAATTGATTGCTCTAATCATTAGCGTAGGCAGCAAATCATTAAAGATTTTCACACAATAAAATTAAAATCAATTAAAGAAAGACAATTGACAATGCCAGTGCGATTGATTAAAATTTTAAAGTTGGGAAATTATAGATCAAATAGAATGTTTGTAATTAGTGACAGCTGCTAGATCTGAGTCACCGTGACCGTTATGGGATTTTTGCTTTTCAAACAAAACGAGATTTCGTTTTGTTCCGATAAATGTTGACTTATTTGATCTGCTCGAAAATTAATGAAAATTACCGCAAAGACCATGGACGAACTCTAGGGAAACAATCGTGTCAAAGTCATCGTTAAACTGCTCGAGATAGTCGATAAAGTATTCGAAAACAATAAAAAAGTCCATTTTATTTATAATGTATTAAAGAAGTAGTCCACATAAATTAAAAAAGGTCAAATTAAAGAAATATGTACAGTCACACAAATAAGAATACTTACCCCTTCTAAGGATTATGTTTAAGAAAAACCATACATATGAAAGTGCAATAAATACATACTTATGTCTAAACAAATAACAATATATCACGTTAACCCTACGCCTACTGCGTAGATATACATAAAATATTTAATATACTTCTATACGTTTATATAATTTCCGTATTTACTAGATATGCGGTATGCGAAGTATCTTTGTAATGACGGGTGATCCAAGTAGAGGTACTTTTTCCAATAACCTTTTTTTGACAGATCACGCGAGAGTTGTGTCAAGCAGTTATGTTATTCTTGTTCAGTATTATTTGGCGGTCCATCGTGAGAAAGACTTACGTGTAAACAATGTTTACAAATTTTTGAACTTTAGTGCGAAAATTTAAGTTCTGTAAAGAATGTGTCTCGCGCGTTTCACTTAACTTATGGTCAACATAATCGCCCTTCTGAGCGTAGTATTCGCAACACCATCACCTATCTTGAGGCCCAGCATTCATTATTGAATAATATTGAACCGAATAGACCACGGCCAGCATGCAGTGAAGAAAATTTAGCGGCCGTAGCTGACAATGTACACGAAGACCGTGGAGAGTCGATTCGGCGCCGTTCGCAGCAACTCGGAATAACGTATGCAACGACTTGGCGCATTTTACGTCGAGATCTTAAATTGACAGCCTACAAAATACAGCTTGTGAACAAACTGAAGCCGCTGGACCCTCCCAAGCGACATTGCTTCGCTCTATGGGCTCTTGAAAAGTTCCAAGAAGATCCGACTTTTTCGAGCCAAATTTTGTTCAGCGATGAGGCCCATTTCTGGCTCAATGGGTATGTAAACAAGCAAAATTACTGCATTTGAGACGAAAAGCAACCTGAAGAAATTCAAGAGCTGCCATTTCATCCAGAAAACACAACGGATTGATGTTGTTTGTGGGCCGGTGGAATCATCAGTCTAAACTTCTTCAAAAATTGCGCCGGTGAGAACGTAACCGACTATTTGATGCCTGAAATTGGAGCTAGTGATCTCGGCGACATTTAGTTTCAACAAAACGGCGTCACTTCCCCACACATCGCATCAATCAATGGATTTATTAAGAGAACAATTCGGTAAGCAGATACTTTCACGTTTTAGGCAAGATCGTCTGATATCACACTGTTAGACTCTTTACTATTGGAATATGTAAAGTCTGAAGTATATGCGGACAATCCGGCTTCGATTCAGGCCTTGGGGCAAAACATCACGTCGATATGTTCGAACGACACATCGAAAATTGGACTCAACGGATGAATCATCAGAGACGTAGCCGCGGCCAACATTTGAAAGAGATAATCTTCAAGAAACAAATGCCTAACAACGTTCTTTCGAATGATAAAAAACATTCCCCATTAAATTTGAGCTTTCTGTGTTTTTGTTTCAAGTAGGGAACCTCGAAATGGATCACCAAAGGTATTGGAAATTAATTCTGATATTTTCCCTTTATTTGATTTTGTTAGTGGTAGATTTCATGGGCCATGTTATACCGTACAATTCAATATGGCACAACACCTCCACTGCTAGCTTAATGCTTGAGTTTAATAATCTGTGGAACACATACTAACCAGCTTCAAGTATTACACGAGTTTGTTCATCTTCACTTCACATCCACCATATATTTTCCCTCAGGAAGCTATCGATACAATAATTTTTAGGAAGAATCTTGTTAAGAGCCACTAAAAGGTCATAAAAGGCAAGCCTTTACAAATACATACATATGTACAATATATACTATAACCTATCTTAATTCAGCATACTGGCAGCATTCGTTCCCAGGGCGTTCTCTTTTATACATATGAAGTATAAAAATCTCTCTGAAACTCACGAAATAACGAGAGATTGAACAGCCTCAATATTTCAAGAAGATATTTCTGAAAAGGTCCTTCACTTATAGTAGAAAAAAGCTCTGCTCATAAATTAATACTAATTTTGACTATTGCATTTATATACTTATTATTGTATTTATATTATATTTATTAACTGTTTTCTCAACAAAAACTACTGTTTTTCAATAATACACGTACTTAAAGTACCTATCAGTGGGTCAGCAACGAATTAGACTTTTTATTGAGGTAAAATCTTAATGCCTTTGGACTTCGAACTCTCGATAACGCATACACGAAAAGCTTCAGCGTACTCACATCTGCAAATTTAGAATAAAAAAAAATCAAATTCGCAATGCATAAATTTTCAAAAGGATTAATGACATCGTCACATACTCATTGCTACTTTCCGGAGTGTTCTTGCATTCGTTAAGAACCTCCATGCTCTGCTTCTCATACTCTGCATCCCCAGCGGCTACCTGCTTTATGTACTCTATAGCTCCAGCTTCGACCAGCTTGTGATTTTCATCCAACTATTCAAATACCAATATTCGATTTTTAAAGTTTCAAAAAATTTTCAAACTGCATACTCACAATACCCAGTTTTTGCATGCAGCAGGCATTAAGACACTTTGCTTTGTCATTAGCTGCCGGTTCATATTTGAACACTCCTGCTACATCCTCTGCAAGATTAATTAAAAATGTAAATATTATATTTATTTTTATTTCAGGTAAATTTCTATAACTCTTACCATCACTTGCACCAACTTGGACTTTACATTCTTCAGCGATTTTCTTAACTTTCTCCAAAAATTCTTCTGCCTAAATATTAAATAAAAGTATTAATTATTTCTAAAAGCTGCTTTCTAAAAGCTCCAAAAATTCTTCTTAAATAAAAGTATTAATTATTTCTAAAAGCTGCTTAAAAAGTTCACTGAAAATTAATGAGCCGGGTCATTGAGAATACATATATATAATCACAATATTCATAATATCACACGGAAAAGTTTTGAAGACTATCAATATCGGGTTTCATTTGCTCCGTGGCTTGAAATATGTGACAGAACTATCCGTTGCTGTAACAGCCTAATTATGTTCCGAAAATTGTACTGTGTTTAAGTCTCCAAGAAACACCACGATGTCAACCAATTAAAACTGTGTCCTAACAAGAGACGAGTCTTAAAAACTACCTCCAAAACTACGCCCAATTTTAAGCAAAAGTTTTGAAGTCAGGAAGCTTTTAGCTTTTAGATTCCTCCTAGTGGCGACCTAAGAAAATGATTTTTTCGTACATGAAACTACCGAGCGCTAGCCGGTTCCTCTACTGTGGGCTACTTCTGTTTTGTACATTTACAGTAAAGGAAGTACACCAAAATGTTTCTTCCCAATATACGAGTACATATGTATGTAAAAGTTATTTGTTATAGATTCGTTCCGATCGGATTAATACCGATTCCTATTGGTGACTTATCACAGGTTTTAAACCAGTGATAACGAATAAGATTGCGGCAGTAAAATATTCAAAGATCTGCGCTTTTATTATTAAACTTATAGAATTTCAGTCCGAAATAGTATTATTTATGCTATAGGACCTCGAAAACTAAGTATAATATATTTTTCGGTATTTTTTACTATAGAAGAAAAAGTAGCCGGCGGTTTACCGGTGACGGGCAAATGCTGTTTAAATCTGAAACTACAGGTTTGGAACTTTTTATAATCACTCTCTTAATTTTCAAGTTTTATTCCGACGCACTAATCATAAAAATCCACACACAATCATCAATAAACTTTTTTTTATATAATTCTCGGCTCTGTACCTCACTAAAGGAGATGACTAAACTGCAGATAGCCAGAAAGACCAAGAAGTACTTCATTTTAAACAATTTACACTTTAACTTTTACAAACGCACAAGTAAAACCACTAGAGTCGAACACGAAATGATCTCTAAATTTATCTCACAACGCCGTTGTACTTTTATATCAGCTGAAAACTTTATATATCTTGCCGATAGCCCTCATATAGATATTAGCTGTTTAATGCATTCAACTCTTGATAAATGAATTTTGATGAGGGGATAATCGCATTGAAAATAAAACATAGAATATACATAAGCACAATTAAATACTTATACATTGTTTAGCATGCAAAAAGCTCACGAAGTGCAATAATTATATTTTATACCTTTTAATTGTTCATAAAACTCTGATGATAGTTTTGCCTTGATTGAATCACTTAAGTGTTCCGGTGTTATAAATATTTTTGAAATTCATCCTCAGTTTTTGTGGTAGTTTTGTGATAGTTTCATGGCAGCAGCTCGTGACGTCCCTTGTTTACCCCCTCCGGGAAAAATATGTGAAATGTATTGACTTTGAACTTATTTTACAGATCAATTAGGCAACTCATATACTAATTCTATTTAATAAGCAATGTATTAAGCAATTCTAATTAAAGAAGTGAGCAACGAGTAACAATTTCATAGTAGCTAAAAAGGGTGGACTGAAACTGACACCCGGGATGGGAAAAGATTATGGGCGAGGCAGGAGTATTGATAAGAAACTGTGTCAAATCGACGAAAAATATTTACAGAAGTACAACGCTCTCAGGAAGAGTCCTTGGAGCCTCGGAACGATCGAAGCTTTAATCTTCTTCGAAAAGCAAAAAGAAAAGATGAGTCTGGCCATCGGCAAAGACACGGAGAAGAACTTTCTTAATAACATTCGGTGTTATTGAGATTTAATTACCAGCACCAGTTTTATTTTTTGTTTCAGAGTACAAAGCTTGCACTGTATTATATTATGTAAAAATGTTTAGTACATAAAACTTTATTAAGTATCTCCCCATATCGGAGCACAATGACTATTATTAAAATTAGCAGTCGATCTCCAAGGCAACCTCAAACTTCTGGGTATTTGGTCATTATAATCGCCTAGCAGAATCGGCAATTCGAGCAACGGTTTCACACATCGTTTACTCTAGTGGATAATGCGCAACCTCAGAGATGCCGTGCAGTGCACACCCAAGACGCTATTGCTACTGCGGAGCTGAGTAGCGAAGGTGACCCGAATGAGTGCATCCGCCATCGTGCGCAACAATTGGTGCTGATTTCAGTTTATAGCAGATTTTGCTTAAGGATCTTGGTTTGTGGGCTTACAAAATACAACTCGCGCAAGAACTGAAGCCAAACGACCATCAAGCGCCTCGCTCGTTCGATGAATGTGCTCAAAAGAAGATGGTCACCGAGCCCGATTGTCACAAGAAAATTTTGTTTAGCGATGAAACTCACTTTTGATTAAATAGTACGTTAATAAACAAAATTGTCGCATTTGAAGGGATAATAATCCTTTGTTGAGACGCCATTATATCCTCCAAAACTTAGTTTTGTGTTGTTGTGCTCTATGAGCACACTGGATCATTGGTCCATATATCTTCAAAAATTACTCTGTCATTACTATATATGGCACTATAGAGCCATGATTAATGACTACTTCGCGCTTATATTGGAGGATGTGGTCGACTTTTGGTTCCAACAAGTTCGTGCTACATGTCATACAGCGAACGAAACAACCAATTTATTGAAGGAAAGTTTAGGTGAGTGCATTATTCACATCGTGGGCCTGTGGCGTGGCCTCCAAGATCGTGCGATTCAAGAACGCTGAACTATTTTTTTGTGTGGTTATGTAAAGGCGTTTGACTACGCTTGTCTAGATAAGCCCGAGACGATTGACGCTTTGAAAGAGAATATTCGTATTATGGCTGACAATTTCTGCAAAAAGTGGTCGAAAATTGAGCCACTCGGCCAACCGTGGCGGTCGCTTGCCGGAAATCATTTTTAAAACATAATGGCAAACCCATATCTTTATAATAGGTATATCTGAATTCCTGCTCATAACATTAAATTATATGCGTTTTATTTCGTCTTCACATGTCTAAAAAACATCCCTTTAGTAATCGATGGGTAGAATTTAACTCTTCATGTGAGTCTAGCTATTAAGCTATACCAATAAAATATGCTTACAACCAATCTCATCTAACCTAAACTCTAAACTCTCAATCAGAATCAAAGATGAGATGACAGTAGTTTAAGCTCTAGCTAATCATTTATAGAAGATGTAATGTAAAACTGATGACTTTTTGACAAAGATGGAATATGAAAAAAATACAGTGGGTCGGTCGGGGGATAAATGTCAGACAAATTGTGAAGATTTAACATAAAAAGCCTGAAAGGTAAGTAAAAAAAAACATTCACACTTTCAAATAATTAACTGTTCGACAATTACTTTTTGTAAATAAATATAAAAGCTTTAGTATAAGCATCGATTTCTTTGCTGATATTCGCTACCAGCTGCTAATCACCCAAATTAAGCCTAACCTACATACTATGTTTATAAACAGTTACTACATTAATACATGAGCTTGTATTGATATATCTATTTTTATTGGAACAATAATTATATTATTTAATTATAGTTATTATTAGTTTGCCTAGTATTATATTTACGAGGGGTTATTTGTAAGTTCATGGAAGAGAAAGCAATACATTTGAAAATGCAATGCAAAATAAGGTATGGTACTGGAAGCTTTAGAAAGTGTCTTACCCAGTAATCAGCACCAAATTATTTCATTTCAGTCGAGTCTTTCTCAACCATTTTATCGAATTAAAACCAAGATTACTAAGTCGTACGTTCTTTTTAAGCCATTTGAAAACTTATTTAAAGTTGGATCACATTTAAAGCGATCAACCAAGGTTTCAGAAGTGAAATTATTCAAACAAAAAAAAAGAAAGCTGGAGTTAAATAGTTCAGCTCGCAGAAATGATTACTGTATTCATTTACCCGGCTATATTGGTACGGTCAAAGTCAGTGAAAACTTACACAACAAGGACAAGAAAAACAAAAACACTGCTCTTTATAGAGTGCTCTTTATAGGTTACCCTCACATCAATCCCTACCTATAGTTACTATTTTCCATAGATATAAAAAAGATTTTGTGTAGCAAGATTTTCAATCTGTGAAATAATAAAATACGAGGATAGAGACAAGATTCACGACCTCACGTATTTTTTGTCAAATGCACCACAAAAAAAGTAACATGTCGGAAATGTCGCAATATACATTTCTATCATTCAAGGTAGCAGGTGAATATTATGAGGAACAAAAGTAGACAGACAGAGGTTGTTAATGCCGACAATTTAAAAACGCCACCTCGTATGCGAATATGAGTCACTAACTACATATGTATGTACACGTTGTCTACTGCAGTTTCATGTCACCTCCATTAAGCCGAGAGTATTTACTCAGATGTACGAGTATGTAGGTGATACAGATAACCCTACAAGTAGGTGACAGTCATCTGACCGGTAATATGACAGTTACAGCTGAAAAAACAAAGTTTTTATCATTTTCTTAAGAGCCTTTTGCAAAAAGTGATGTTAACAAACGTATGTGTGTGAGTTTGCATCTTCCTTTAACACATGGATCTTCGGCATTGACTCACTATACATCTATACTGCTCACTCTCATGCCTTTTCCTGAGTCATTGCTGATCATAAAACCATCAAAGCAGAAAATTGTCAGTTATGACTGAAAAAATATCATAGCTGAAATTTGTCAGTTATGTCTAATCTATCAAATGAAAAATTATTTTGCGCAGTATATTATACAATTTTTATTTCTTCAATAAATTCAAAACTTTTAATAAATTAGTTATATAAATAATATAAAATAAGGGTGCAACAAAAATATAATTAAATAATATAATATATAATATTATGAAAATAAATTTTTACTTGATTCCACGGTTACTAATATCAAAAGCTATATTTGGACTTTAAAAATGCCTAAATAAAAATTAAAATTAACTAAAAATATAATTTTCTTTGAATTTAAATAACTATTATCTTTGAAAACTCCTTCGTTATTTATTTATTTTTTTAACACAATAAGAGTTATAGCACAGGAGGCCCCAACACTTTTGGTTTATCGCACGGAATAACTACATAGGTATTTCAGAACTTCTAGAAACTCCTATTGAAATGTGTTCTGTCTCGTTTTGATGCATACAAAATTTGCTTTTGGAAAAATCGTAAACACTGACAGTCATTTTACTGTTCATTTGACTGTCAGTGGTGACAGCACTAAATAATGCAGCATTTGATACTTACATATTTATTCGTAAGGGTATCTTTTCAACAACAACAGTGATTGACGGATAAATAGACCGTTTGTACTGATATGGTGTATTGGTGAACCCATCAGCAGCAGTTTCTTGTAGGGAATCGTTATACTTAAACGGAAATCAAAGTAGTATGAAATTTGAAAACTTGCATCTACAATCAAATTGTTGTAGAAAAAGTGTCACATTTATGATTAATTTTAGATATTGCTAATTACTTGAATATATTTTATTTAGATACCATGTACGAATATATATGTGAGTATGTATTTACAATAATCGAATTGCATCACCAACAAAGCTTTGAGGGGCTTTATTAATAAAATAGTAATTACAAAGGTGCAAATGAACTCGACCAGGGGGTTGGTATTGTAGATGGGCGGAATCGGACCACAAAGTGCCGTTAAGCGAAAACATATAAAGGGCTATAACTAAGCTCCAAATTAAGAAACGAAACCGTTATTTGATACAAGGTATCGTGATGGAAAAGGACATCTATCGGCTGAAATTTGGTGGGCGTGACTCCGCCCGCTAAGAGGTTTAATGAGCATATCTCAGAAACTATTTAAACTATTTCAAACAAACTTGCTAAAAGAAAGTATTCTAAAAACCTCTTTATTTGCTGTGAAAATCGGTTAAATCAGAAGATAACCACGCCCACTTCCCATATAAGGATTATGTCGAAAACTACTAAAAGTGTGATAACTCATTAAGTCAATGCGTCAGCGGCTAACAATTTTACACCGAAGATGGTACGAAAGCACTCCATGGGATCCGGTGTCGAAATTAGACACGTGGCACTACTCATCTTTGGATAAAAGCCTATATCCCAGAAACTACTTAATCGATTTTAACCAGATTTTGTACAACATATTAGCTTTCTTATTTTACGTTGTGAAAATGGCTGAAATCGGGCTACAAACACGCCTGCTTCCCATATATCACAATTATAAATTCCGGTTGATTATTTTACTTTCCAGTACCATATAGTGTGCAATCTCGAGATCTAAAGTAATCGAAAGCTGACCATAACTTTTCAAGTTCCCAGATACCGAACGCCTATGGTTGACTTTTTATCGAAAAGATTGTAAGGTACCTTAAGTAATGTGAGAGATCATCGTTTTCTGCAATTAATATGTAGTACTACCCCTAGTCCAAATGCACCCAATATAATAATTTCTGATTTTATGGCTGACTTTAAACCGTTTATGTTGTCCAATAAATGTGATACTTCAATGTTTTCATATAAGTAATGTGGATTAACGTTGAATATGAATTAAATCGCTCTAGACTGTGGTCTAAACCGCTTATCCCTAAAATGATTTCCGTTTCACTGGTTGCTGTTTTCCTTATATACCCAATGTATTAAATAAATTTAGCCTCTTTGGCTGAGTTTTAATACAAATATGCATACATACAAATATGTCATTTAAGTTAACAAGGTTACTTTTAATGATCGGATATGAAGCAAAATATAGTAATGATACGAAGTGAGTCTGCAAACTATTATATAATTATTAACAAGATACCAAATATTCGTAATTCTTTCACCCTTTAGTTAATGAATCTCGAATTCTTTCGCAACATATTTTAATACAAAGTTTTGAGCACCCGGAAATATTTCCTCGGCTTTGGTCCTTGCGAGAGTATAAAATGTTCGGTTACATCCGTACTTAGCCCTTCCCTGCTTGCTCTATTTCTTTTCTACTTGAAATAACCTTTGACAGAGTTTTTTCATATTGGTAAGCGTTTTGACTTTGAACAATTATTAGATCTCATGGAAACCATTTTCTTGTTAGGAACATTTTTGGAGATTGCACATTGTCTAATTAGAGAAAAACTTATTGCTTATATATCTGAGCACCCAATTTTGCTGGGCTGGGAGTAACCGAGGTGATCGATTGGCGTCAAAGTGTTGTAGATGATAGGTATGGAGGAAGCCTGTTACAAGGAACCGATATGTTGATAAAAAGATGATTTAGGATGCAAGGCGTGAATGTTTAAGTTATTGTCCTTAGCCGGGTTTCTTAGGTTAAATTCATATGCGGAAAATTAAACATTGTTAGACCGTCAGTGAAATTGTGAGCATCCGTAGTCGAGAATCTTCAACCTAAGACTTCGTATGAGAAGGGGGTGTTAGACGAGTCGACATGCAAAGATATGATAAAGATTATGCGGAATAAATGTGCACCCCAATTATGATAAAAATGGAGTTAACGACAGCTTAATTCTGTTATTATATCCTGAACAGTGTATACTATTAGGTTTGCGACTATATTCGTAATACCCAGGAGGGAACGTCGGAGATCCAATAAAGAATATACACAGCATGACGATCCGAGTCGATTTAGCCATATTCATCTGTGTATACGCGAACATATCGATCTGAAATTAAACACACGTATTTTTCTCTCCAAAAAACTTTTCATTTGCCAGAACCGCCGACATTGAACCACTATAACATATGGCTGTCATATAAACTGAACGATCAAATGCATGTCCTTGTAAGGAAACTTTGTTATTTGACAAGATATCTTCACGAAATTTGACTTGAATTATTATCCAAAGCAACGGTAAATTTTCCAATTGTTCATATCGGCCTACTATAGTATAATATATAGCTGCCATACAAACTGACCCATCAAAATCGATCTTTTTATACCATTTAATGCTGTAAGAAATGCTCCTGTGAAAAGTATTATAGCTTCAGTGCAGCCGAAGTTAACGTTTTTCTTGTTTTTTCGGAAAAATATTGCATTGTTAATCTTACTCCAGATCGGAATTGATGTTGATCCTGTATAGATTTAGATGGGTTTCGTGTGTCTTTATATCGCTTTTGTAATGCTGCTGAAGCAAGAAACTTTGACCAGAGAAGAAATTTGCACCATGCTTGTTGTGAAACTCTAGATTTGATAGCAACGACTTTCTCTTTTTCATTTATTCATCTACGAACGACCACCAGCCAATTACAATCAATACAAACCTTTAGAAAAATCGGCGATGCAACCGTTTTTATCCCCACTTCAGTTAATGGTGTTGAGTACGATCGCGTTCCTTAAAATGAGCTTCTTTGCATATCGCTTACAGGCAGACGAAATACCAATAGTCCTCAGCAATAAAAAAACAATACTTTTATTTTAGTTCTTAAGCCTATTTAAATTTATTTCATATAATTTTACGATTTGCGTTTACTTTAGTTCATCGTGTTCACAATATAGTCAACACTATAATTACAGTCCTCGGGTCTTGATATATTTAATTGAAAAATTGTGTGTTATTTACGGACCGTCATCAGCTAGTACCATAAGCATGTCAGGCCACTGACAGGACCGCGAGTTACTTTCTGACAAATCACTCATATAACAAAATTGTAAAATTGCTTTTATAGTTCTTTGTAATTTTTGGTGAGTTTTGGTGTTTTTATTTATACAAAACTACAATCTTTTGCGCCAGATTTCACTTTTTTATTTTTGGCGTATTGGTCGTTAAATGGAAAAAACGCACTTTCCAGTGTTCAGAGAGACAAATTACGAGCAGTGGCAGTTACTATATGACTAAGTTTAGCTTTATCTCCTTGCAATACTCATGTGACGTAATTTCTCGATATTTTTCCTTCAATACATTTAAGGTTTTACTTTCTATGTTTTAATTTTTGTTTAAAAAATGATATACGGTTTATGAAAATTACTATTATTATCGTACGACTTTTAGCAATTCATATTTCTATATCATGGAACTTTGTAGAAATTGCGCACAATTTGTGTAATGTATGTATATACTACTGAGTAATCGGAAACTTACATCACTTTAACAACCATGGGCGCCAACGTTATGTATCGATTTGTTTGCAAAATTGGACACGTAGGCATAACACGGGCAGTAGGTTGAATTTGTTGTATAAATGAATGATCCAGATGTAAGTTTGTGTTCACAAATAGAGATTTTTGTTATAATATGAAGTACACTCAAATAACTTAAAATAAAATAGGCTAAGGGAAGTAAAAATACTAACAAAATGTTGCTAGTTGTTTACTAAACAGCTCCGGAAATTTGATATCCCCTACAGTGCAATATAGTATTTACGTTTCTCTGCATTAGTTAATCCGCAAAATGTCAATTTGATTTGCTGTCCAGTCAATTGATCAGATTGCCTGTGCTTTTTAGAGAAAATAATCGGCTTGCGGCTTTTTAGATGGTATACCCCTGCTTTCTTGAGGCGCGGCTTCGAAAATAACGAAGTCTCGATGCAGGTACTCATTTAATTCCAAAATTGCTGCCACATTTCCACATCTGTAATATTAAATGCATAATTAACAAATTACTAAACATAATTTTATTTAAGAAGTGGTCAGAATTTTCAAAACAAAAATTTGTCACTTTTCGAGTTTGAAACATGAAAAACTGGTGACTCATCGAAGGATATTTTTTAATTTCGATTTTTATAAACAATTAACTGTTGGGTTTTCCTGAAAACCTGGAAAAAATTTCTCATTTCCATTTCATTAAAAACACAAAAAGTTTTGATCAGGCAGTAGATTGCATATTAATAAAACTATTTTTTGTCCGATTGAATTTAAATGAATCTCCAAGGATGTGATGGCCACCGCCAGAAGACTTACTTTTAAAATAATTTTTTTTTTTAATTCGTTAAATCGAAACTTATCTAATAAATTATTAAAAAATAGTAATTTTTTCAGGCCTCTGACTACACCTAAACCGTTATATCTAACTTACCTATAGCAGTAGTTCGGCGCTGACCAAACAGTTAATACAGTCTCATTAAAATGCCATTTGAATCCTTCCATGACCAATTGATGGGCTCGGCATATCATATCAATGTCGTTGGTGCGGTTAAATTGAGACACCACATCTGAACCAAATAAATAGCCAGCTCCGCGTGGCGACACACCCCAACCCGTCTGATCTTCAGGGTCACTCCATAATAAATCACACATGGGTCCATCATGAGGTACCTCTTGCTTGCGATCAATCGTTCTTATTTGATCTAAATACTGTATTGAAGGTGAAAGACCACCATGCACGCAGAATATCTTTCCGTCAATGATAGCCGAAAGACTAAGATAGTCAAAGATTTCAGTACAATAGCGCCAAACAGCCGTCGATCCATATTTACGCAAACACTCGTCGTAGAATCCGTAAACTTGTGTGATTTGGCGTGATTCGTGGTTGCCGCGTATCAATGTAATGCGATCTGGATAACGTACTTTAAGCGCTAATAACAGCAGAAATGTTTCGACACTATAGTAACCTCGATCGACAAAATCGCCCATGAAGAGATAATTTTTTTCGGGTACATCGCCACCAACTTTAAATAATTCTTTAAGATCATAAAACTGTCCGTGAATATCGCCACACACTGTGACTGGTGAGTCAACACGCTGCACATTTCCCTCTTCAACGAGTATTTCGCGCGCCTTGGCGCATAGTGCCTTTACTTCATTTTCTCTGATTATTTCACAGCGTTTCAGCTGCTCAATCTGGCGATCCAAATCGCTATAATCGGTCATAGTGTTGCTTCTGGAGTCTGAATATGAGTAATGAGTTGCTGTTTGAGAGGAGCTAAGACTGCGGTTGCTGTTATTACGACTGCTCAGGGTGGCGGAGGAGTCTGTCAAGTGTTGCGGAGTTTTAATGGTGATCTTGTGGCGTTTTTTTTGTAGCAAGTACGAAAAATTGGAAGTTGTTAGGTATTGGTTGAGTTTTCACAGTTGTGCAGTAATCATGTGTTCCAAAAGATATGCAGCTCAGTGCTGCTCTTGTTTAAGCAACTTCTATAAGAAACAATATAGTTAGTTATATTCTAAGCACATAAAGGAAGTTAAGTGAAAGTTAAATATTGCATTTGTAACTAGGGAAATTGTAGAGAATGATGTTAAAACTCACTTCCTAACTTAATAATAATTTTTAAGAATTGGCCAACTGCATATAAACCAACTCTAATGTAATGAAAATTACAAAAAAAACCTTAGGATTTTATTGGAGGAAAGCACTGTACGTGTTGTAATAGCTTTTATTAAAAAAAACCCTTACCAAATTTTTTTTTAGCACAATTACATTAAACATGGATGTACCTACACCGACCTCTATAGCAGCATAAGTCGGTGAGCCCATTTGTGTTTTCTTAATTTACATTTACTAGTTACCTCTTTTTACTATATTTTGCAGCGGCTGTCTCACGTTTTACACCAATTTTCCTTAGCAGAACAAAATAAGTTGCAATCAATCCTACACCCTTCTTTCGAAACGCAAACAATGCAGTCAAATTAAACTGCAACTGTTTAGTGTTTTTACTATTTTTTATTATTTATTATTATTTTATTATTGTAATTGTAATTAGAATACGTTTAATTTCAGTCCACAATCATGAAAAATCACCGCGCTTGTTGGCTTCTTTCGCCAAACAAATGGTGCCAGATAGTTCGAAGCCTAAACAAGTTATACGTGAATATTTGAACACTTTATTTATATATTTACTTAACTACGAGTTTTCACAAGTTTTTAAATAAAGTAGTTTATAAGTTTTTAATAAAGTAAAAATTTAATAATACGCAAAAGAAACATAACATATTACATATTACTGCTGTGTGATTTGTAGTATCTTGAGTCATAAATTTATTTATCAAGGGAGATACGGTAACAACATTTCTTTTGTTTCTTACCTTTGTTTTCGAATTTTTCGATATCGAATAATATACTACGATTTGGATGTTGCCACACTTATATTTGGAAGAATAATTAGTATGAAGCCAGATAGTCAGCAAATCACCAACATTTGGCCAATCCCTCAAACTATAGTATTAGCAGAGAACGTTCTCTGGTATTAGGTTGTATTCAAATCACTACAAATAGTTTGATGTAGTTTACTTATATCTTTTGTAAACATTTGTCCCGTTTCAATTGAAGTTTTTTTTATTACGATGATGGCTAATTTCTTTGTCTTTGATTTGAGATTTTTGACAGAAATTTGTAGAGGCATAAAAGAACAAAAAGTTCCCTTTTTCCTTTGGCTGATTTACTTATATACAGCTTTTGCTTCACTTTGTTTCAGACTTTTGATTAGATAGAAAATTTCGATGTATGCTTTTATTAGAGTTTCGTCACATCGAGCCGGAGAAAACAAAGCGAAGCAAATTGTTGAGTAACTCTAATCTTATTTTGCTTTTGCAAGTGACACTCGCCGTTTTTGCAATGAACTTAAGTGAACCAAATGTAATATATACATACTTATATATTTATATATGAGCATGCATATATATCGAAGCAGATTTTTGCGAGCCATGGAAAAATATTTAGGAATTTTAAAAATATTTTAGAATTGTAAAATATTTTAAATCGACAAAAGCTTTGTTGCCACTTTTCCTTTCTAAAGGGAACATCACATTTATGATTTCTAGCTTCTGCCATGGTAAGCGCCTTTTCGAGACAAAGGCAAACGCATGCTCGGGGAGATGTGTAAGGGCGTTTGCTTTTATGAATGAAACGGTAAAGCTTATTTCTATTCTGAAGCTGCTCATGTTATTTAAGACAATTGTTGTTTTTGTACAACATTGTTTGTAGTTTTTCTATTGGCTGACATATCTAAATACTTATGTACGTAAGGTTGTACATATATGGATTACATATTTTGCAATGTCATACCTATATTTTTACATACATACATGTAGAATACTGCACTCACATGTATTTATTGTTAAGTGGATTTATTGTTAAGTCATAATATCAAAATTTCTATTCCATACTACATACACACAAATGACATCAATATTGCCGACTATGTATGTACATAAATAAATTATTAATTTTGTAACAATTGAAATTAGAAAAATTATTAAAAAAGTAAATATCAATTTTTCATCATAAAAATAGTTTCTATGACAATAAATTATCACGCATATGTGAGGTGGCATTTGTAACTTTTGTTCAAAGTATTTAATATTTCTCTTTATTTTGTAGATACGTATTTCTGCCAGAGAACGTTGTTACAAATTCTCACTTCTGTTAAATAGTAGAGAATACCACAGACAATTATAAATTCCCTTCTCGTTCATTTACGTTCTCTGCTTGAGCTCATATTTTTCTCTCAACTGCTAGAAAATAAATTCGTTCATAAAGATCCAACAAGTTTTATCGAGACAAAAGAAACAGGACAAAACTTACGATTTCAAGTGAACCCAAATTTTGCTAGAAATAAAAGTAATCCACTGTCAAATTAATCTAATATACATAAATATAAACGACATGAGAAAGTGGAACTGAAGTTCTCAAGCAAAATAAAAGTCAAAAATTCAAAATAAGGATCGAAAGAGTTTATCCAATTTAATATTTCGATAAATCATACCTATTTAAAAATATAGTTCAAGAACTGCACTTCTTTTCGAAATTCATATTAGGCTAATATTTCGAAATTATCAAACGTTCAAATCACATAGTGAAATTAATCATAGGTATATCTTAAAAATTAGTAGCACAATTCAAAAAGTAAAAAACACTTGTCAAATACATTTGGAGTCGGCAATTTTTCATTGTAAGCTACAAAACCGCTTTCGATTCGATTATTTATTTGATAGCCAATCAATAACATAAATATGGCGTTTGATTTCTGGCGTTTGGCTACCAGTGATTCCTTAGTATTTTTTAATTTTTTTAACTCAGTTATTCCA